CTTTTTTTTTGAAAAATGGGCGCAGTTTTGTTTTACAACCGTGCTTTTAGTTGTATTAAATTTGTTCTAGAATTGTATCGAAATCACTAATTTGCACTGCTTACACTGATTTAAAAGAGACTGAAAAGTAGAGGAGAGAATTTGTTCAGTCAAAATTATCTATCAGTTTATCAATGCTAAAGTTACACTAATGGCCAGTTTTTCAGTGCTAGGTTAAACTTAGATTGAGTAAACCGAGTTTAAATTGAACAGCTGGCTGACATTTGATTGGCTGATCTTAGTTTAAACCAGCCAGATCAGGCGTTTAAACTTAGTTTAAACCACGGTCGTGCACTGAAAAACTGGCCCTAAGGGTCTTCACATTCATTTTGGTAGTTTTGGTAAATTGCTGGTTGACACTCGGTAATTTTATCAACTGTGGACGCCTTTTTCAGTCTTCTTTTGTTAGTCTGGTAATCTATGTCGTAGCTCTTTTCTCAAAGAAAATAAATTGTAGCAGAAAATTTAAGTAATTTTATTACTCATATGCGTTATGCCTTTCGGCAGCAGGCAGATTTAAAATTGAATAAATATCGAACAGCTGATTGCAGTTTACCAACCACCAGAAAAATTATCAAGCTTGCACCACGATAATTCGGTACCAGGTAAACCGATAGTAAAATAATTTTACACAAACAAAATACATGGGGAAAAGTTACCGAACACCTAGTACCAAGCTCCGTGTGAAAACCCCTACAGTAAAACTGGATCTAAATCTTCAAAACCTTAAAACCAGTGGAGTTCAACTATTTAAAAGCAGTTGTGTTTTAACTTGTAATTTTAAATTGCCTTTGACAATTGCAAATCCACTTTAATTAACCCATATGCAATGTGGGTTCCATTTGGTTTTGTAATGTGTGGTCATATTTATTTGGCATAAAACCTAAGAAAATGCTTTTCCTTAAAATTTCTCAGACCTTTTACTCAATTTGTTCAAATAAATTTAAGTTAAAGGTATGCAAATTTAAGAAAACGCAATTGCTTAGTTTTTATGCGTACTACTTATTGTATGTAATTCCTTTGTATTTTTTATTTTGTTAAAAAAATACGATAAACCAAAATTTTACGATTTTTTGGCCGAAATTACGATTTTTCAGGGTAACGTTACGATTTTCCAGCGAAAGCTTTCGGCAACGCTGATTGGCACCATAGAACTTTTCTACTGATCCCTTAATGGTTAATCAAATGGATCGTAAAGGCAAGGGTTAAAAGATTTAAGCAGCCGAGGTGGCAACATCACAGTTGAAACCATATGACTTTTGACGTTTTATTTTGCAGCAATTTGTTTATTGCTGAAATTGGATTATTGGCGACTGGAGCAAAATTTTCAAGTTGAGAAATTCAGTGTTATTTTTTTTATACTGCGCAGCAAAGGTAATTTCAAATAATACGATGTAAGTTAACAAGTGCTTTGCGTGATATAGCAATAAAATTAGCTACGAGGTTTGGGCTGGTATAGTTGTCCACCGGGAGCATTTGTAATATGAGCACTATTTAGATTGCGATGTTACGTAGATGATTTAGTGGAACACCGGCAGAGGCTATTTACTTCACCTTATTTTCATTTTAAAACTATAACTTGTTTGTCTATTAATAAAAATACTAATATTGTGACGTAAGCATAATTGGCATGTCAAGGGTGAATTAAAGTGTAAATTTATATACATATTTATCTTGATTACATACGTATGTTTGTATGTACATATCGATGGTCCTCAGCAATAATGACAATTCATAATTCATAAAATACGTCCCTTACCACTGTTAAGTGGCCCATGTGTCCGATCATTGTGGAATTAATGTTTTACTAAATCAAGTAGTAGGGATTACTACAGTACGAAGTAAGGATTAGACATCAATTAGAGACGTCCGCCAACGTGTAACAGTAGTAAGAGCTTTTATTTTTTGAATTTTGAATTGTGTCGTTATTGCAGAGGACCATCGATATGCACTATACTTCATGACTGCTGTTTGCAAAGTTTTGTCATTTGCATAGAATTTTATTTACTGTACTGTGTTCCGTACTGGTAACAATATCCTATTCCTATCTCTTACGTGTAAATAACCCCTTAAACACGAGCGGCTAGCTGTACGCTGTAGGTTAATAGCGACATTAACCTTTCGCTATTTTGATGCCATATGGCGTCATGCTTTTTTGAATACTCACAGATTTAACTGAGCTTATCTGAAATTATATTTTTATATGAAACGCTGTAATGGGAAGTTGTATAACTATATTTTAATATGGTATTGTTATTTTTATCCTTAGTAGATGAGATTTTGTTTTAAACTTTACTTAAATATCGATTTTCTTCTGCTTAGAAAGGTCTAAAAGATGTGCCGAAAGTGTTAACGCATACAAAAAAAACATTAAATACAAAGTAAAAAAATACCTTGAAACCATGGGTTAAGTCGTTTTTGTCTATAATGAAATTTTGGAATTCAAGCAAATGTGTCACGGCATCATATAAATGATAGCAGGCCTCTTGTATGTACACATGCATGTACATATTTATTGTATGATTAATATAAGGTGCTTTTGTGCACTGGATTAGCTCACCACATAGATTTGATTTCTTTCGTTGCTCCCATCTGTTGATAAATACATACAAACATAGGTCAGAATGTCGTACAAAGACCCAGCTTTTAGTAAAGTCGACAAAAGCAATGACAAAAAATTAATTAAATACATATGTTTTAGATTACATTATTGTTGTTAAATGAAAATCATCAAACTGAAAATGCAGCGGTAGCTGATATTCAAAGCGCCTTAAGTTTATTCCCGAATCAAAAAGTAAGACGTGGGCAGTACATATGTATGTATGTAAATTTCTAGATATTTTTTGCTAGCACAACTACTTTTTAATTAGCATAACTACCGAGCATGTAATAATTTTTTATGCACCATTTGTTCTTTTCAAACCCTGGGTCGTATTCTTGCTTGAAAATTTTCCATTACTTTTCTATACAAAAACATAAAATTTTCGATTCGTACGAAATTAAGAATCCGCACCTCTAACACCTCGGCCACCGCAACATTTGCATCAAATCGACATTTAAGAAAAAAAAATGTGCAAGCCTATACATACATACATACATACGTTGCATGTTTCTCAAATTTTCACTTTTTAACCCAAATTAGATACACTGCCGGAACAAAGTATTGGCACAGCAAATTTTTCACAATATATGCAAAAATTTTTATTCTAATATTTTTCCGCCAATTTTGTATAAAAATATGGTTCATTCTACAACAAAAAAAAAAATATAATTCCTAAACTTTGCGAAAAACTCACGAAAATTTAGCAAATTTTCAACCTTCTATCAGATTTTTTAGAATTTTTTGAGTATGCAGATTTGTAGCCCAATCAATTTTATTATAATAAAGTAAAAGTTTTAAGCAGCTAATTCCCTAGCTACCGTTGATTTTTGGCAATTTTTTTCACGCAGTCTCTTCTGAATTTTCGCGAGTTTTGCACAAAGTTTAGGAATTATATTTTTGTGTTTTTTGTTGTAGAATGAACCATATTTTTATACAAAATTGGCGGAAAATATTAGAATAAAAATTGTTGCATATATTGTGAAACATTTGCTGTGCCAATACTTTGTTCCGGCAGTGTACCTATGAACATACATACATACATAGTACCCCTGCGCTGTATTGGTAAGCAGTACGCACTACCGCATTCCGCAAGGCCCGAGTTCGCGCCCAGTTTCCGGCCAACATCGGCAAAAGTGCAGGTCCCTCCCCTTTGCGTCATAACATCAAAGCGTACGCCACAAATCGGAGGAGAAGCTTGGCCAAACACTGACGTATCGCGTAAGCGCCAATCTATTCTTATTATTACATACATACATATGTATGTAAGTATGCATGTATGTGTATACATGGCGAAAGTCATGCAGTATTAGTGGCCACTAGCCACAAGTTTCAATTTTTACTTATCACTCATGTTATAGAAGACTGTCACAACTCAAAATACGCGATTTTCGAGCGAAAGATACGGAGATACTTGATATATGACGATAAATAGTTTCTA